TGTTAACTTGATTTGTCTTATAGCTGAGTAGTTCCCAAAGGCAAAGAATAAATGTAGAACTTGAAATTGACTTGTTTTGTTTATATAAAATGATTTTTAAAATTAATAATGTAATTAAATATTGTTTATATAAATGGTAATTACTCAGAGTATCATATTTACATCAAGCGACTTAGTTAACCAATCAGATAGGTCTACAGTTTAGTGCCACCATTCTCCAAGTCAGCATCTCAGCATTCCTCCACCACCCCAACCACCACCTTAATTTGATCAGGGGAAACTACTCATAATTTCCTAGTACAAAGGTTACAGTTAGTTTTATTGTTGGGCATTTAACACATGAACATGTGTTATTTTCCCCAAAAGAAAACTCACTAGATTTTTACATACATATGCAGGGCAATCGGCCTAATCACACACGCATATAGGCCATCGGCCTCTACCACAAGGCCATCGGCCTTCAAGACTTACAGGCCATCGGCCAAGTTATTCACCAAGGCCCTCGGCCTCTCAAGTTCAAGGCCATTGGCCACTAAATTCACCAAGGCCATCGACCACTCAAGTTCAAGGCCATCTGCCAATCTATTTACAAGGCCATCGGCCAGTCGCATGAATTATTACAGGCCATCGGCCTCACACATGAAGGTCATCGACCTTCAGAATACCAGGCCATCAGTCTACAAACATTTTTAAGGCCATTGGCCAGTTATATATCACCACAATTTACATATAGTAGGTGCAATTCAACATAATTAGCCATTGGCCTTACATATACATTTAAGTATTTTATCTTTGTTCAGTTTTGTATAATGATGTTATGTGTATGCGTGTGTTTCTAGATGTTGCAATTTGTTAACTTGATTTGTCCTATAGCTGAGTAGTTCCCAAAGGCAAAGAATAAATGTAGAACTTGAAATTGACTTGTTTTGTTTATATAAAATAGGTGTGATAGCTTCAATGAAATTAAAAAAGAACGTTCTTATAGCCTAAAATTCAAGAAAGTATATTTAACACATTTTACAAATTCCATATTGTATATAAGCAAGTATCACTAAAGCAGTGAAAGGGTTATGAATTTTTAACTTTTTTCAATTTCCTTTATCCCCAAAGTGAACTATCCCAAATGATAAGGTTGAAATGTTTTGCCGAAAAACATGGCTCTCCCTACGACGGTGAAGGAATCGGCTACCATTTTTGCTCAAAAACTTGAATCAGATCTTTGAGACAAGAATGCTAATATAAACTCAATTAAACAATCTTTTAAAAAAATTGTTTTCTTATTTTTTGTCTTTTCTATTAGTTTATGACACAAGTGTGCATGGGAAAAACTGGTGAAGTTTTATGCTTGCAACATTCATTGATATACTTTCTTGAAAAAGTATCACTTATAACTATGATTTAAGATCCGTTTTTCTGTGGTGCACAAAAGTTATAAGGTATCAAATATCATTTGCACATTTAGTCCTTTCTTTTTCTACTTTGAAAACCAGCCAAAACCAATTATAAAAGATGTTAGTTTGACACAGAATTGCAACATACCTACGACGTGACAATCAACATATTCATTCACGTTTCATTTATCCTTATTTTACCATCGTTCAAGCAAACGCTCGGCTGCCTCCATAAACCCCTATTGCAAAATGTTGGAGTTGACAGAGACAGCCGCCATCCGGGCTTCAGATTCTTGAATGCTAATTTCTAGAGTTTAGATTTATCAATATTCAAAAATTATATGGTAAGCATTATAAGGAGGGTTTCTATTAACATACCAAAAATGAATGAAAAATATTGAAAAACAAAAAAGTTAGAAAATACGATTTTTTAGATTTGCATGTTGTAACGACCAGAAGTACTGACGACGCACGAAAAGTAGATCAATTCTGCAAACCTAAATGTCATGAACTATCATCTTCAATAAGTCTCCAGTTCATTTCTTTAGTGATTTTCGATAAAAAGGGGCGACAAAATTGCAGCGAAATCAGGAAATTGCCATAACCTGGCACCAGAGGCGAATTTTCAAAAAAACGGAATTCATATAATGGAACTTTTTTTCCTGAAATTTCATCGAAAACAGCTGAATAGTTGTTAGCGAAATCGCCTGCACAAAATTTTGACAGGAAAAAAGAATAATAATAAGAAGAAACAGTAGAATCACTATATTAATGGCACTATTAACTAGTGTTAATTGTACAGTTAAACTCGGTTATAGCGAAGTCCTGGGGACCTGTGAATTTACTTCAATATATCCGTAATTTGTTATATCCGTATAACAAATTCGTATAACCATTGTAGCGAATTCGCAATATGTGTGTTTTCCTTCAGGTATTACTACCAAATATTTTAGAGAAGCATATACTACAAAACATATCTTTGATAACTAAGGTTTTATTATGAATTAGATTTTATCTACAAATGCTAAAAGTAATATAAATCTTTGATTCAATTTTTCAATTTTTTTATAATGTTAGAAAGTTCGTTATAAAAGATGTAAATTACATTATATTTAACCTCAACGGGACTCAAAATCAGTTTGCTATATCCGTAAATTCGTTATATCAGAGCTCGTTATAACCGTAAAATTTTACAAAGATTTGTTAAGAATTTTGTCGGGGACCCTGAAAAACTTCGCTATATTCGTGAATTCGCTATATTCCGTGTTCGTACTAAACTTGTTTTACTGTAATGGGGACCGTTAAAGAATTGTTCCCAAATTTTGCATTTTAATTCCCTTTTGTGCCATACTTATGTATTTTTAATTAAACTTTAACAACATTTTCAGAAGTCTTGTTTTTCTAAAGTATAAATTTACATGCTTGATTGTTTTGATGAATCGACCGTCACAGGTCCAAACCGGTCAACAAATTAAATTTGAATTGCATTCCACGAAGTGTTAGATGTTTTTTCATACTTGTATATGTTTATAACTTTAGTTACATACCCTATTAAAATTTTCCTTATCTGCATGAGAATCTTCCGGACAATTTTAACCTATATTTGAATCCCCCGCATTGTAATTATATATCTGAAAATCGTGCATTAAAAAAATGTGTTAAGGTCAAAAATATGAAATGATTGTTTCATTTTAACATTATAAGAGAAAATAGTAATTAGTTTTACATTTATTGCCTCACCTGCAATTATCAAAAAAGAATTATATTTTATTAATTGTTTACCAGTAGTTATTATCTTCTCTATTATGCCCCAAGTTGCAAATAAAATGGTTGCATTTGAACTATTTAAAAATTGATTTTGCAAAAAGAAATTGAAACTAATTCACATTTTTGCATTATTATTATGACAGACTGCTGTAATAGTGACAATATACAAAGTTTGATGATGTCCAGGGATGTATATTTCTCATCCCTGATCATGTCTTTAAAAATGGCATCCAAACATTGTAAACATTAATTATAATTAAGGCCATTCCAAGTTTTTTCTCTGTTTAGCGTCCACTCATCTTTCAAAAACCTACCTACCTATTCGCAAAAAACACACAAATCAAAGCACAAACTTAAAAGTCATAAAAATGACGTCCTTCAAATGATTTGATCTAACTAAACTGCTTTAATACAAGAAATTTCAATTTTTAACGACGTTCGATCCTGATATTTAAAGTCTTAAACTTTTTTTTCCAAGTATATTTTTAGCTTCTACATACATAGCTTAATAAAAATTCAAATCAAAAAATGGGGGTCAATCCACTTCTTTTGGCGCTACACTACATTTAATATGACCTTTTTGCACTGAAATTTGTGTCTTAATTAAAAATTAAATTTTTGACGTTTTCCTTCGAATATTTTTATCCAATTAAAGCATGAAACAAAATGAACTCTATGTTTGTTGAAAAAAGACACTTAAAAATTGTGACTAAGAAAAAGTTTTAAATTGCTTTGCATAATAAATTATTTGACCTTTCTGCACTAATAAAAAGTGATTTTTCTGGCATTGAAAATTTGATAAGCAAGAAAATTATTTTAAAGTCTTAAACTTTGTCTGATTTTAAGCAAATAGGCCAAATTTATCTTGAACATTTAGAAAAGAACATCAAAAGTGGGGGTATATGATGTTAATTTTCAGATATTACTAAAAAGGTGTCAATTTTACGTTAAATTTGGCTCAATTTTTCCCGGGTTTTCAGAATATATTTACTATATTTGTCACACTTTGTTGATAGAATTCATAAGAAATAATTTAATAGATATTTCAGAACCAGCATAACACATTTAACTGCAAAAAACAGCTTTTTGTGCAACCAGGAAGGAAAAATAGGAATAAAAAATTAACAGTACTGTTATAGTTCAAAATGGAAAAACTGATCATTTTCGTCTTAAAAACCTTCTGCCACAAAATATAGTCCCTATCTTAATTCTACTTGAATGGAATTTAATCACTGTTTTTTCATTGAATATAGTTAAATTTGCACTGTAGAATTCAGTTTTAATGTTAGAACTTAAAAATCGTGCAGAAGTTTATAAATAAAGGACCTGACCAAATTACGCTCAAAATCTCAGGATCGAACGTCCTTAAGCAAAAACAACGGATTAAATGCTTACAATACACCAAATATAACTTACTGTACAGAATTATTTGAAGAAACTTGCAAAATTTCGACTAAATTTATCAATTTCAGGACTCCTGTTGTTGTGTGTTTTTTCTCATATGGGGTGTCAAATACCAAGGTTCACGCGGATGCTAAACATAGAAAAAACTTGGAATGCCTAACTGTTTAATGGGTTAGGTACTTAGCAATAAGTAAACATGACAAACAGCTGGGGAAAAAACAGATTCTTTTGATTAAATTTAATTCTAGGAACAGATTGCTTGGGTACTTTTTTGTACTGTTTAACCATAAAGGAGATTGTTTGTAATAAAAATATTTCCTTCAACCTACCAAATTGTTTTAGTCACTGTAATATGTAATCTTTGATTGAATAGTAAGACATAACACATATATGGGTGTTTGTTCCTTGTTTTATTAAAGTTATTCAACATCTCTAATTATGGCGAGTGAAATATTAGTTGATGGTGCCAGAAATTGTGAAATGGTGACTAAAAAAATATTTTATGTCGTCATTTAGCAACCTGAAATTAAGTGTGACTTGGAGCATTGTGATGATTTGCAATGTTTGCAGTATTTCACAGATCAGAGGAATCATGCATTTACATATAGAGACTGACTGAATTTGACAAAAAGGGTATAATTTTTCACATGAAAAAATTATAATTCTTATTTTTTTTTTTATTTTATTAGTAAGCAAAGTCCTTCTTTAGTATTAAAAGTATAATTTCTTAATAAACATAACTGTGACTGGGTGAATTCAAAATGGGGCAAAATTGTTCGCAAGGGAGAAAGGGCGGAAATAATTCTTGGAAGAAAATAACTGTATACAGTAATAGATTTAATTAGAATATAAAAGAACGTAATATTTCCTTTCATTCCCTACAGGCTTTACAGAAACTTGCTGAAATCCAAGGTTATGAAAATTGTTGCAGTTACATTGAGACTTATCTACCTTATTTGATTCATCAGTGGTTATGTCTACAGTATAATGTGGATGACTTTCCATTCCTATTGGTCAACTGTGGTTCAAAGAAGGACTTCTACAGGTGAAGTGAAGATTCAAGTTTGTTCAAATTATGACCCCTGGGTGTAGGGTGGGGCAACAATGGGGTATCAAAGTTTAACATAGGAATACATTGGAAAAATCTTCTTCTCAAGAACCACTGGGCCAGGAAAGATGAAACTCATGTAGAAGCATTCTCTGGTAGTGAAGATTCAAGTTTGTTCAAATCATGACCCCCAGGTGTAGGATGGGGCCACAATGGGGTATCAAAGTTTAAATTAGGAATACATTGGAAAAATCTTCTCAAGAACCACTGGGCCAGGAAAGATGAAACTCAAGTAGAAGCATTCTTTGGTAGTGAAGATTCAAGTTTGTTCAAATCATGACCCCCGGATGTAGGATGGGGCCACAATGGGGTATCAAAGCTTAGCTTACATGTAGGAATACATAGGAAAAGTCTTATATAATCTTTTTCTCTAAGACAGCAAAGCCGTGATTGGTCATAGTTATATGGAAGCATCCTCTGAAAGTGTATATTCAAGTTTGTACAAATCATGACTTTAGGGGATAGGGTGACACGATGGGGGATCAATGTTTAACAAAGGAATACATAGGAAAAATGTTTTAAAAACTTCTTCTCAAGAACAGCAAAGCCATGATTGGTCATAGCTATATGGAAGCATCCTCTGGTAGTGAAGATTCAAATTTGTTCAAATCATGACCCGTTGGGCAAGGGTGGGGCCATTATGGGTGTTTAAAGTAGGATTACAAAGAAAAAATCATAAAAATTCTTCCTCTTGAGAACGTTGTGATGGGTCATAGTTATACTGAAGCATTCTCGGGTAGTGTAGATTCAAGTTTGTTCATATCATGACCCATTGAGGAAGAGTGGGGCCAATATGAGGTATCAGAGTTTTACATAGGAATACATTTGGAAAAAATCATTAAAATTCTTCACAAAGCCATGATTGATCATCAATTTAAAAGCATTATTAAAGTGTATCATAACAATAAACTAGAAAGCCATTATGTGTCATATTTATTCAAAAGCATTCTTAGGAAGTGTAGATTTAAGTTTGTTCAAATACTTTTCAATACTAAACTGATTTTTGCTTTTACCTAGCTATTTGCTCAGGTGAGGGGTGTGGCACCTGGGCCTGTTGTTTTATTTTTTAGGATTCTTTCATTGTCATATTCAGTGTAATTTCTTTTTCAGAGAACACTTTGAGATTCTCATCACCGAACTCCTTATGTTTAAAGATATTGACAATGCAAAGAGAGTAGCTATGACCCTAGGGCAAGACTGGCTGGAGGTTCTAAAACTCTGCATACCCAGGATTGTGGTGTTCATTCTGCCACAGTTTGCAGCCTCTCAGAGGGGAGAGACTGCTAGTGAACATGTGAAAAAGAGGACGGCTCATGCAACTGCTTGTTATACTCTGCTGACTGATCAAGCTGGAAAAGAGGTGAAATGTCTCTTGTATAAGCCAGACTTTCTCTGTTTTTCTGATCAAAGTTTGCCTGCCATTCTTCTCTTGTCCATCTTGTCTGCTAAATTTTAGCTCACCTTGCCAAGTCAAGATGATCATATGCTATACCACTGGTGTCAGCATTGGTAAGTTTTGATGTTCACGTCCAGCCAAAAGTAACTAATTGCCCCATATGGACCATATGGACCAAACTACAGACTACACGATTCACACTACCAGACTTCCTTTGGATTCTGGATCTGACTCACATTTTCCAGATGAGTGACCATGTACTCATTTCTGAGGCATGTCCATTTCCAAGAAACTACAGTAAAACATGCTTATGTCGAAGTGCCTTGGGCAGATATTTTTTCTTAGTTACATGCGTAATTCATTTTATTATATGATTGAATAATTCCCATCTCTCTGATTGGCTGAGATCCAACTATGCTAGAAAAATACTACGTTGTATTGACCTGCACGTGACGTTCCAGGTCAATACAAGGATTAATTTCCTCTACATTGATCTAAAAATAGATCGGGATATTCCAAATTGATTTGGAAAGCTATTTAAACTAATATAACTTTTTTTTTCATGTGAAGGAAACATAAGGGAATATATATTTTTGGGTGAGGGTGGTAAGAGGGGATGCAGGGACACTCCTCCAACACTTTCACTGAACAACAATTTTTCCTTTTTGGCAATCAGTTTTCCCTGATAATACTCCTTCCTTTAAAAATTTATCCCAGAGAAAAGACTGACATAAATTTTTTTTCATGGCAACTAAAATTGATTAAAAAAACTTTTTAAAAAAATAATAAATACGACCTGTAAGGTCGATTAACATTTTAATTTTGCTTCTCTCTTAATTGTATTTGGATAGGACTTAATTAAATGCAAACAAGTGATGGGTTTTATCATTTTATTAGTGAATCATATAATAAAACAATTATTGCTGTGTTTTGAGGTCAATACAATGACTTAGCCATCTTCGAAGTACAATATTCACCTCGCCCTAGGGGCTCGGTGAATATTATACTCCTCAGATGGCTAAATCATTGTATTGACCTCAAAACACAGCAATAATTGTATAATATCCATTCAGTTTTAAATATAGTACTTAAATGTCAAGGGGAATGAAAATTGCTTCCCTTAATGTGTCAATTCATTAAAAGCTTGTTTGCCATGTAAGAGTGTTTTACTGAAGTACCCCTACCTGGATGAATTCTGTCTGAATGATGCACCTAGGGATTGACTTTACTAGACTTGCTTTGGAGGCTGAATCTGACCTATGTTTTCTGGATGACTGACAGGCTGAATAAGTATAATAGTTTGGAATACTGTATGTGTACTTACACATGTATACTGTGAAAATCATCCTCCTCTTTAACATACTAATGATGAAACAAATATTAGCTTATAGAATCTAAAATTAATTGTACCAATGATAACATGTTTTAAGCATTAAACTCTAATTAGGGCCCCGCAAGGATTTGCGGGTGCCCTATAGTAATCACTCTGTCTGTCCGTCCGTCTGTCATTCTTCCGTCCACAAAATTTCTGTTTTTTTTTCTGATAACTTTTTTATGGTTGCCCAATCAAGATCAAATTTGGTATGGTAGTTCAGTAGGCAGAAATACATATTTTGATGCTAAGTTTGGTTCTCTATGTCTTCTGGTTTGGAGCTGGGGTGGTGGGGTAGATTCCTTAACTATGCATAAGAATGAATGGGCAAAGAGAGATAACTGCTGAGAATGTTACCATTGTAAACTGGGAAGACTGTGCAATTTGTCCTTTGGGATTAATTAAGCCTTCAAGTGAAGAAAATCCTAAGCATTATCTTTATCTGTCACATTGAGATTAATAACTGTACCGCCTCTGTCTGCAAATGAACTCTGTTTTGAAGTTAAGGTCAATTTTGAATGATGTGTACATTCTCTGAAATATGGATTTAAAATAATGTTCATACTTTATTTTGGGTAAAATACTGTACACAATGATTTATGATAATTTTATTGAATTCTAAAGTCTAGATATCTATTAAGATATCATTTTTAGCTCACCTGAGCTGAAGGCTCAAATGAGCTTTTCTAATCACATTTTGTCCGTCGTCCATCCGTCTGTCCGTCCGTAAACTTTTCACATTTTCAACTTCTTCTCAAGAACCAACGGGCCAATTTTAACTAAACTTGGTACAAAGTATCCTTAGGTGAAGTGGAGTTTAAATTGTTAAAATGAAGGGCCAAATCCCCTTACAAGGGGAGATAATGAAGAAAAGACAAAAATAGGGTGGGGTCATTAAAAAATCTTCTTCTCAAGAACCACTGGGCCAGGAAAGATGAAACTCATGTGGAAGCATCCTTGGGTAGTTTAGATATTAAATTGTTAAAATCATAACCCCCAGGGGTAGGGCGGGGCCACGATAGGGAATCCAAGTTTTACATAGAAATGTATAGAACAAATCTTTAAAAATCTTCTTCTCAAGAACCACTGGGCCAGGAAAGCTGAAACTTATGTGGAAGCATCCTTGGGTAGTGTAGATATTAAATTGTTAAAATCGTGACCCCAGGGAGTAGGGCGGGGCCACAATAGGGATTCCAATTTTTACATAGAAAAGTATATAACAAATCTTTAAAAATCTTCTTCTCAAGAACCACTAGTCAAGGAAAGCTAAAACTTATGTGGAAGCATCCTTGGGTATTGTAGATATTGAATTGTTAAAATCATGACCCCTGGGGGTAGGGCGGGGCCACAATAGGGAATATATGTTTTACATAGAAATATATAGAACAAATCTTTAAAAATCTTCTTCTCAAGAACTACTGGGCCAGGAAAGCTGAAACTTTTGTGGAAGCATCCTTGAGTAGGGTAGATATTAAATTGTTCATATCATGACCCCCGGGCGTAGGGCATGGCTACAATAGGGAATCCAAGTTTTACATAGAAATATATAGAACAAATCTTTAAAAATCTTCTTCTCAAGAGCTACTGGGCCAGGAAAGCTGAAACTTATGTGGAAGCATCCTTGGGTAGTGTAGATTCCAAATTGTTCAAATATTGACCCCCGGGGGTAGGGCGGGGCCACAATAGGGAATACAAGTTTTATATAGAAATAAATAGGAACAAACTTTAAAAATCTTCTTCTCAAGAACCACCGGGCCAGAAAAGCTGAAACTTATGTGGAAGCATCTTGGGTAGTGTAGATTCTAAATTGTCCAAATCATGGCCCCTGGGGGTAGGGCGGGGCCACAATGGGGAATTTAAGTTTTACATAGATATATTTAGGAAAAATCTTTTAAGAATCTTCTTCTCAAAAATCACTGGGCCAGGAAAGCTGAAACTTATGTGAAAGCATCCTGGGGTAGTGTAGATTCTAAAGTATTAATTCATGAATGGGGAGGGTGTAGGGGGGGCATGATAGGTATAGCAAGAGGGGAAATCTGGTAAAGAACTTCATCACCCAAGTTACTCAGGTGAGCGATGTGGCCCATGGGCCTCCTTTATTATTACTATTTTATTTTTTTAATTATTTATTTATTTTATTTTATTTTTTGCTGCCTTAATGCTGTTAATTTTAACAGGTAATCAGATAATAATCCAAATCTGTCAGAGCTTAATAAAGGGTTTTATTGTAAATTTAGAAGAAAAGGGTTAGAGAGCAGTACAATTAATCCCTTGGGATTAATTATCTAGCATGCTGCAGAAAAGGATCACTTCATAAATAAAGATTTGACCTATAGGACCAGCTTTGAATTTTTCCCTCTACAAAAACCTTGTCGATTTGCGTTCCGATTAATGACATTAGGCTGAATACATATAACAATTTGTTTTTCCTAAATCTTTTTTTCAGCGAGTAGAGGTAGGGGGGACCCTTTCATTGATTTTCTGAGTTTGTTATCTGAAAATGTAATAATTATGTTCCCCAAACGGAGTTTGGGAACATATTGTTTTTACTCGGTTTCTTATTATTATTATTATGTTCCCCAAACGGAGTTTGGGAACATATTGTTTTTACTCAGTTTCTTCTTATTAAGGTCTTCCGTCTTCAGCGGAAGACCTTCTTGTTATTCTTAGGTTTCTTTTTCACTTTTATTATTATTATTGTTTTTTTTTCTTACCGATTTTGTGCACGCGATTTCTCGAAAACGGCTTGATGGATTTCCATGAAACTCCAGGACTTATGAAACATCACTTGAACCTTATGCATTTTTTTCTGTTTTGATGACGTCACTTCCGGTCTGGAGTTATAAGCTTTTTAATGATTTTTTAAGGGTCAGTTTGTCCGCACGATTTCTCCTAAACGGCTTTAGATAAACACATGATACTTTCAGGTATGGTAGACCTATGTCCATAGATTTGTGGAATGTATTTCATTTTCATCGGAAGTACCGCACGTCGGCGCTCGCTACGGCCGGAAAATAGTCGTATCACAAATTTCAAAATTTTTAACACCTTTTCTACGATATCTTTTTACCTGGAAATATTTTGTTAAAACATATAGAACAAAAGAAGTGTAGAATTCCGCAATCTTTCAAATGATATCTTTTAAAAAGGGCTGGCCCCTAAATTTAAGGGCCTAGAGGGGCCGAAAGTTTTTCCTTTATATCTCATGAAGTATTGAGAATTTGCAATATGTCAAAGAGGCAAAGTTGTTCAAAATGTCAAGCTCAATCCATTGCAGTCATCAAAATACGTCCGTCGTCGTCACTTCCGGCCAAATCAGAAGTAGTCGAAAAACACGTATTTTTGCCGTTCTTAACCCGTTTTGGGGTAACATATGTCTCTGGGAGCATAAAAATTAATTTTCCGTCCGTTGTCATCACTTCCGTTCTAACCGGAAGTAGCAAAAATGGCTTATTTTTGCATTAATTAACATAAATTAAGGTGATTTATACATTTTTGGGCGTTATTACTCATTTTTGGAAAAAAATGAAAGTCACTTCCGGTTACTTCCGGTCAAACAGGACGGAAGACCTAGCTTTGCTCTAGTTATTAT